GAAAAATGCAGCAAGAAGGTTTAATGGAAAAGACAAAGGAATAAATAGAAAAGTTTCTGAATCAAAAGTTTCTGAATCTGAACCTGCAGCGTTTTGATACCATGAAACACTTTTGAATTCAAAATATTGGGAGAAAAAAAAAAATACTTGCTCATAATTTATTTCTCAAGTAATTATGTTCCGCTACAGGTTTGGAATTTATATACAAAAATGATAATGATCTAGAAATTTAGGCTAAATGATCTAAATCTAATTGGTAAGAAATTCTGTACATTGGAATTATATTGCTTGAAATAATGAATGGAAATCGATTGAATCAGCAATGATGGACAATGATTGGCTATATGATTAATTAAGTTATTGCTGTTGGTTGCGCTGTAGTTTGTGGTATTTGTTTGACAAGGCTTAAGGTGGTTTACATTGGATTATATTGCTGAAATAAATGAATGGAAATGATTGAATCAGCAATGATGGACAATGATTGGCTAATGATTAATTAGTTATTGCTGTTGGGTTGCGCTGTGGTGATTGTTGACAGGCTGTAAGGTGGTTGAGTTAGTTATTTAGGTATGGATTATTCTGTACAAAAAGTTTATAAAGTTCAGAGCATTTTAATACAATAATTAGGTTAAAATAAATAAAAAGTTTAAGTAATATAACTAAAATAATATCTAGGAATTATAGAATTAAATTATGAAAATAAGAATTTATTATTAATGTATTTGAGTAAAATAATAATTCATTAAAAATGTATCTGACACCAACATTTGTGCGTGAATTTCACATATAAAATCTTGTATAATTAGGAGGACATAGTTAATGATTTATAGTTTAAGTTTAATGATCAAGTAATATTACGAGTTAGTTTTTATACCAACTTGTTGAGGTTAAATTTATTTTTTATTTTAATTAAATGTGTAATATTTTCTTTCAAGTGTTGTATGTAAAGACGATCTCTTAGTGTTGAACCTTTGATTTTGATACAAAAATTGAAAGAACTTGTAGAAGAAACAACACTGCGAGAAGAGGAAGAAAACGCAAGCGAAAAGAGCAAGCAAAAATGATAGACGTACTGGAGCATCCGAATTTTTAGAACAATAAAAGCAAAATCAAAATTAGCAAAAACAAAGTGTTGATCTGCTGCCTGAACTTTGCGGTATTTATACCACTCTAACATTAATTGGAACCACTTCAAGTACTATACTACTAGGCCAAGAGTAGAAGCAAACAACTTTGAGATCAAGCTAACAATCATTCAATTGTTTTCTACCTCAATTCAAAATGGAGAATTATCTAGCAAAGATCCTAATCTTCAGATTGGCAACTTCTTAAAAATTTATGATATGTTCAAGCAAAAGAGAGTATCGGATGACGCAACAAGATTAAGGCTATTCCTTTTCAGCTTGAGAGACAAAGCTCGTCTGGTTACAATACTTTAGGGCGCTTTACTACTTGGGACAAATTATTCCACAAATTCTTGCAAAATTCTTCCCTTCTTCTAGGACCTTAAAATTGGGGAATGAGATATTATCTTTCAACCAATATGATCAAAAGAGCTTGTATGGAGTTGAGGAAAGATTTAAAGATTTATCTAGAAAACGTCTCCACCATTATTTACCCAAGTAGATGCAAGTTCAAGCTTTGATGATGCATTGACTCATTTCATAAAATTTAATTTGGACGCTGCCGCCGGAGGTTCTTTTGAAAAGAAAGAAATTGATAATGCATATGATCTATTAAAAGAGAAGGCAAACAATAGTCATTACTAACATACCTCTACTGGAATCTATGAAATTAATGCCCTAACCACACTTGATGCCAAGGTGGATAATTTGGTAAGAAAGATTGATATTTTAACTACTAATGCTATTAATTATATTGTGCAAGCTTGCGACAATTGCAGTGGACAACATAGGGTAAGAGAATGCATAATGAATAAACCTTAATCCACAAATTTTGGAGTAAGTCAATTACTTGATAAATTCTCGGGAGGAAGAATTCCAACTCCTAGGACAACAAGTTAAAGGATCATTTAAATCTCTCTTGTAGCAATCACTATAATGTCTTGAACTCATCACTAGGATTCCATCTACAAGAGAAGAAGAATCATATTGATGATCTAGTTGCTGCTCTTTCTAAATCACATATGGATTTTATGAATGAAAGCTGAGAAAACTTTAAAATCAAACAAGCAACGGTTAAAAATTAGAAGTGTGAATGAGGCAAATGGCAAGTATAATGGCTAATAGACCTCAAGGATCCTTATCTAGCAACATCGAAAGGAATCCAAGGGAACAAACATAGGTAATTACATTGAGGAATAGGAAGGAACTAGAATATCTACCAGGTAAGGTGATGGAAAAGGGAGAAGTTGAAAAGAAAAACCAACTATCATTGATAGTGAAAAGAAGGAGAAAGTATTTATTATGTTCCATCTATCTCTTGTCTACAAACGCCTAAGCAATTCAAAGATAATTGGAGTTTCTTTATATATATATTATTTTTATATTAATTATTATTTTTAAATATTATTATTTACATATATATTATTTAAATTTCTTGATGTCTTTAAGAAATTTCATTAGCATTCTTTCCGCCGAGAGTGTTGCTCAAATACCTAGTTATGCGAATTGAAATTATGATATTCAACGACTAATATTTGAACTTAAAATTATGATAATGACTAATAATTGTATTTAATATTAAAATAAAAAAAATCACATCTCAATATTAAAATTTCAAAAATGTATATATTATTAAAAATTGATATATAACTTCAATTAGAAATTTTCATATTTAAATTTAAATTTATTCTTAAAAAAATATTAAATCACAAGTGTCAACTTGTAAATCATGCGTTTAAAAGTAGTAAAACTAAAAACAGAATTCAGTGGATGGTCCACTGATTCTTATTTACGGTACAATACATCACAATAATTAACACTACGTATTTGTTGGCCGACGAATTGCCCGTACACATCATAACTCTATCCATTGGTTAATTTTGCTTTTATCCATTCCGCTCACAACCGTTGATCCTATCAACTTACTTCAATCAATATTTTTATTCTTTATTAATAAATATTAAAAATACAAAAAATTATTAACAAGTATAAATCTATAATTATTTTTCGAATCATTCAGCGGCAAGAACCAATCTTATACTGCCAAGTTTCATGTAATTGACCAGAGATATGTACAATTATCACTGGATTATGTCTTAGTGTGCTTCAAGTAATTGATTTTATATACCAAATATTATATGTTCAATATAATTATTAAAATATATAAATATAATTTAGTCAATAAGGTGTGCGGTAGCCAATCAAGTATGGCCTCTCGTGGAAAATATAGAAAACGAGAGGTCTCGAGTTCAAATTTAAAAAGGAGTATTGTTTCAATTTAGTGAATGTTATTTAAAGGTAAAAGCTGGTCTTTTCAGGTATATGAGAAGTTAAAACTCTTGATTTCGAATCATTTCAATCATAAAAGTATTTATCAATTTTATGAGTTAATAGGAGGGTACCAGATTTTATAACAAGCAATATTATTTAGGTCTATTAAGTCTCTCAATGAATATTATAACAATTTTTAAGTCATTCATCATCTATATGAAATATAAAAATATAAATTACTTTCACATATTAATTATAAATACACAAACATTTCTCAAAGAAAATATCCTAACATAAATATAACACGGTTCTTAATTTTAGTTTGAAACAATTTTCAGTTTTAATCAGCTTTTATTGAATTTAATTTTTTTATCTTTATTAATTTTTCTTCAAATCAGATCAAATTATTAATTTTACAATTTAAAATGATTTGACACATAGGTCGAATTCGATTTTAAAAATACTGCCCACAAACCACACCGTTTCATTTTCATGGTTCACATTTTATTAGAAAATTTTACAATGAAATATGTATTGAGACTATCAGAATGTTACATGCTCTATTGAATTTTCAAATACAATCATTTTCATGCTTTTCGCGTGTCCTACGCGTCGTTTGATTCGTCTATAATTCCCAAGTATCCATAAATCCATCTATATTAGCTTAATTCAACAAGTATAATTTTTAATTTCAACTTTTTTTCTACCGTTAAATCATTTGACCTTATATTAATTTGAACTTCTTATATTTTTAATTGAATCATATGTCAAACTGAGTAAAGGATTACGAAATCAATGGTGTGCATAGTTAAAACCACTTAAAAAATTATAGACCAATAACTAAAAATTTTAAAAATGAATTCATTTCTTTTTTTTTATATATTGAAAATTGTTGTAAATAAATTGTTGTAAATAAATACCGAACTTTGCGGCACAAACACTTGCTCAGAATCGACGTATAACCTGAAAATGAACTATCTATTTCGAATGGTGGTCTTTAATTACTTTATGATTAGAACAAAAAGTTAATCTCCTCGTCAAGAATCAAATTAGTTATATTTATATAACAAGGATTACTTATTTCAATTTTGCAGAATTTTTTATATAAAGGGTCTAGAGTCTGTTCGACAAAAATAACTATTTTGATAATAACATTTAATTGTTAGCTGTTTTAGTAGTTTTTCACAAAATGTTAAAAGTTAAACATTACATTACTTAATGTTTTATAAAACGTTAAAAGCCATGATACCAAACACTATAAAAACTAGCGTTTAGCATTTTAAAAGCTATTTAAAAAAAACTGTTACCGAATATAGTCTTAATCTTCACATTTATACATTCAAATTTTAAGATTCACCGAAGCATTGGAGTGATTATATAAAAAAAAAAAAAAAAAAAAAAAAAAAATTTGAAGATTCACCGATAGCATTTGGAGTATTAATATAAAAAAAAAAAAAAAAAAAAAAAAAACTAAATTATGTGATGGACTAATTTTTGCACATTAATTATATAAGTTTGTTTTCTAATTATAATAAAAGATAAAAGGAAGAAAGTTCAAAATGCGCCTTGAATTTGGGCAGAAAATACAAATTGCCCATTTTTTACTTTTTTTTTTTTTTTTTTTTGAGATGAAGAGATCGACATTGATATAACAGTGAACAGCCGATCAAAATAAGAAAACATTGCTACTTCTAACAAGAAGATCAAGGGAATGTTTTAATTTGCCAAGGCCAAAAGGCTAACAATATGCTACACAGACTTCACAGGTAAAACCCCAACCACAATCCTAATTTCATATGCATCCCAAAACAATCAATTGGCAATGTCATTATAGCAGCATGATAAAATTGCAAATTCTCCATCCTTAATGGCACAAGATGGTATTGCAGTCTAATATTATTGGCAGGGCACCTAACAGAGTTATTTTTTATTGTAAATTTTACCAGAAGACTGATGAACTTCTCTCCACCTTCCCTCCGTATTTCAAAGCAACCTCTTCTAGGCTGTCAAAAAGGAAAAAAAAAACATCAATTGAACAGAAATGTCTGTAGAAAAGCTCAAAAGTAATGTGCACCTAATATGATAATATGCAGATATTTCCATACACTTGGTACATCTTGAAGAATTCATACAAATCCATAACTAGCCAAAAATGAAAGAAATGAATCAGAAGGTTTCTAACACCATAAACATGATCACTAGTAGTTCTTTAACTGAAGCAAACATGATCATTCAGCAGAAACAAACTTCTGAAAGGAAATAAAAAAACTTCTATAAAATAAAATAATCTGAAGAGAAGGAGGTAAGACACTCCTATGAAATTCAGTTATGCACAGAGAACCATTGCATTATTGAAAGTCCATGCGACCTTGGCTTTATACAAAGAACAAACAGCTAAAAAACAGATTCAATTGTTAACGGTGCTTCAACTTGCAAGCAAAGGTGGAAATATTAACAAATATACCTTCTCGGGATTAAGTAGCACATTGATACCAGGAACAGCATCCTCCAAACCAGTTTTCACCTGCGTAGCCCTTGTCTTGAATGAGTTGCATTGTTTGCTGTAATAAGCAGCAAATTAATTAGATATTACAGATAATGGAATTTGTTTTCATCTTCGCAAAAAAGTCAGGTGCATGTAGCAAAAACCAGACACACAGTTTGACTAACAATGGACCTACTTATCTCTACAGTTAGCTATATTGTATATAACAGACTCTATCCCATGAAACCAAATCCAAGCAAGTCAAAACTTTCAACCACATTCACTCAGTCTTGTCAACACTGCAAGCCAATCATTGTGTGCAAACCAATAAGTACCCTTTGTCTTCCAGAACTATTGTATCATCATGAGGTGAAATTGATGTAGCACTGTCCAAAACAGTAAATAGGGACTTCAAAAGTAGTAACAGGTTTGATAATCTATAGCGTTTAGGATAGACAAAGTCATGCTTCTACGACCAATATCAAACACAACGAGAACAAAGAGACCAATCCTTTTTGTCTACAGACAAAAAAGCAATAAAAGAAAATAGTTACTCGATCTCCTCCCAACATTTTTTTCTACCCACTATTTGTTCCACCACATGACCCAAGATCATCTATACTAACTATCCCCTTCCTGCAAATTTTCTCTTCTCGTTTCTTTCAATTATAAATTACAAGGATTGTAAATATCCCAACAACATTCTCCTTTTCTCCAAAACTTATCTAAAGAGCTGAACATGATTTAAGTGACGAAAAAAAATCGTCAGTTTTCCCTTTTTAGCAAGTCCATGCTCAAACCTGTAAGTAACCAAAGGCACTAAATCACAAACCCTTTTACCCTAAGAAACAGAAAAAAAAAAAAAAAAATCCTTTGTTTTGATTAATAAAAAAGGAAAATATATTTTTGCCCAACTTGCGCCTAATACAAGTTTTGAAGGAAAGTTGAAACAACAATATGAACCCTAAGGAAATAGTTTAATGAGGAAGACAGAATGAAAATGTATAGAGATACTTATATCCGTAACCAAACACAAGTTGTGCCGATTAGAAGGATCCTAATAAAAAAAAGGTTCACAATTTTATTTATTTAAAAGATTTTAGATATCATATTAGACAAATATTTAAAAATTAATGTTGTTTTGGTCCATTAGACCTCTTATGTATAAAAAAAACACTTAAATTTTTATAAATTAAATTTAGTAAATTATGAGCCTTTTCTCGTAAATAATAAAATAATATCCAAACTTTACAAGAAAGGGAAAAAAATATTAATGTCAATTAAAATATTAGTAAATAAAAACCTTAAAGGAGAGAGCTTAATTTTATAAGCTTGAAGATTTAGTAAATAAATGTAAAATTTGAGGTAGTACTATACTTTCCATTTAAAATATTAATGTCTATTAATGCATTAACCTTTTAAAATAATGTATGCATCACCATAGACAATTCCTATGATAATTTACTCCCTTTGTCTCAAAATATAAATCCTTTAAAATTTTTATATACAAAGATTAAGGAAGCAATTAACTCTCGTAGATTATAACAAAATCAATGGTAATTTGATGAAATTATCATTTATCTCAAAACTAATAGTTACTTGTGAAAGTATTTATAGTGTCTAATGTAAATAAAGGTAATATTAAAAAAACATCATTTATTAAAATATTCAAAAATGATTTAATACCTCTGTTCCATAATACTTGTCACATTTAGAATTTTACAATTCTTAAGAAAATCATTTAATTTGTTTAAATTACAATAAATTATTGAGTAAATTGACTATATTACCCTTAATTTAATATTAATTCTCTAACAAAACTATTAAATTGAAGTAATAATTATTGACTGTATACAAATGGCAAAGATGAAAAAAAAATATTTATTACTCCTTGAAACCACAAATGTGGCAAGTATTTTCGAATAAACTATTTTCTGAAATGTGACAAATATTATGAAACGAATTTAGTATATTTTAGGACAAAATAATCACAAAAAACATTTATATTCAAGGAAAAGGTGAGTATATAACTTAATAATACGGAACTCAACGAACAAACAAAATAGGTAACATTAACATTAATCACCCAATAAAAATAACTAATTTCCCGCATAAATTCTTGAGACTAGTTATTATCTTTGTCCTACTACAAGTGTTTTTAAGATAATTATAAAATTATTAAGTAATCTTAATCTTAATAAAAAAATTACAATTGATAAAATTACCATTTTATTAAATATTTAGAGATTGTAATTAATTAATTAATTTGTCTCTTTCATAATGACTGAAATTCCAAGATTAATGGCAGAATAAAATATAATAAATATGCAAAACGATCACAGGAGACTTTGGAAAAAGAAAACCAAGATGAGTGTTTGTTGGGGTTCCTCAAGTCAACCAATGCATTTATGGCACATGGCTGTAGGACTACGGCACATGGCTGTAATAATTCATCACCAGTAAGCCTACTAGAAAATTGGCAACTACTAGTGGACAAACTAATAGTTCCCCTAATCTAAAACTAGTAATTTAATTAAATAAATAAAATAAAATAAAACCTAAAAGTCCTTGTCTTTTTGTTTCAATTCTTAGTTGAACATATGAAAACAAAATTCATAACGGCGATTGAACCGTTAAAAAGTTGAATTCTGAAAAATGATCCATTCATTAACTTGTAAACATTGCAATAGTTGATTTTTTTTTTCTCTTATATTTATATAGTGTTTGTATGTCAATGCTTCAAAAGTAATAATAATAATTATTATTATGAAAGCATATTAATATACCCTATGTAAATAGGGTAGGTTTTCTAATGTAACCTATGTGATTAAGTGCTAGGTCAATAATTGTTTCAAGAATAGTTCAAGTATTTTGGATGTTTAATTAAAACTTTCTCTACAAAAATACTATAAGGTTTTGCACTCTATAATAAACAATTAATCAATTTCGGTCAAGATAAGCAATTCTCATTCGCAGCTACTTTTGGGATTCCATGGATTTTATCATGGAATTATCAAATCAAACAAGTTCAACCACTACCCTTTTCTCCTATACTGGTCAGAATTTTCAACAATAAATGGTGGAAAGATTATAACCAGACCCAAGCCTGTGCTCAAGCTGTTCAAAGATATTTCAGTTCAAAGAGATATCTACTTTTGGCAAAAAATACAAAGAATTCAGATTTCTTAACAGATAAGAGCAAGTGGCAGGCTACCTTCGCCGCTACCAGTTCAATTGAAGAATTCAAGAATTAACAGATAAGAGCAAGTGGCAGGCTACCTTCGCCGCTACCAGTTCAATTGAAGAATTCAAGAAGACACTACAAGGCATAAATAGTCAAGCATCGCAAGAAGACGAAAATGAAAATGAAGCCACTTCTAGTTACTCGCCACTCCATGAAGATGATTGTTATGATATAAATAAGATAGATTGAAGTCTATCCAGTTCAAATAAATATCAGATATGTTTAAGTAAAGTTGCTTGTCTTATCAGGCTCCTCCTATCATTATATAAATATGTAAAGTTGTTTGTCTGTATTAGGCTCTACCCTGTTTGTTTGTGTTAGGTGATTTGTTTGTATTAGGTCTATCCATTTTTTGTAGATAAGGTTTATCCTATTAGATGATAGCTATCTGGACTTTAAATCAAGTGAAGTTCATACTCTTTTATAAAAAGCTAAGCGTGCTATGAGAAAGAGAGATGTTTTAGAAGAAGCGTGCTTGTGCTATCTCTATCCTCTGCTCTTTCAAAAACTTTGTACTCTCCTTTTTTGTAAGTAATAAAGTGTTCTTTTGTATAATTATCGTTTTAACTCTGTTTTGATTTAAATTACTTTGATTAAATTATTATTTTACTTTTAGTTAATTGATATGATTATTTATTAATATAATGTTTGTATGTCAATGCTTCAAAAGTAATAATAATAATAATAATAATAATAATAATAATAATAATAATTGCAGCATATTAATACATAGGGTAGGTTTTCTAATGTAACCTATGTAATTAAGTGCTAGGTCAAGATACAACAACCCTAAATCAATTTTTTTTAGTACTAAGGAGGGATTTGAATATATTGTCGTGCAAAACGCTCACTTCCGAGTGTTTAAAAGAACTTCATACCTACGGTTCGAATTCGAGATATCTAGTTAAGGGAAAAAAAATTTCTGTCATCTCATCTCACCCCTCAGACATAAAATTATCTTGCACTTTCTAATACACTATAATATATAACTCATAGAATTCTCTTTAATAATAATTAAATAAATAAAATTCACTACACAAATTAAATTTGACAAGAGGATAGGATAATATGCATCATATCAGTGTGTTTTGTCCTCATCGAATAGCTCTTTTTTACACATTTTAATTTTTCTTTTCTTCAATAGTTATATGAAATTATTTGTTTTGTTTATAATTTGTTTAATCTGCAGATTTATTTTCAATCTGTCCAACCTACATACAACCCGAGTTAAAGCTCTTATTTCAAGTTTTCAAAAAAAAAAAAAAAAAATGAATATGGGATAAAAATTGCATAAAGTATTAATTGATTTTAGTTCAAATAGCATCAGTTACAATGTTCAATTTATTAAACAAATTACATATCAAACCTTTAATAAATTATTTTCTAAAATTTTAAATTTGATCCATAAATATGTTTACTTTCGTTCGAGTAATATTAAAGTCTTTAAAAATTATAAAATTATAAATTTAAACTACCAGTACATTTCTTAAAATATTTTTAAAACTATGAATAATTTCAACTAACCTTATTGGGAATCTAATCGACTAAAATAATCAAGCCTCATTTGCTAAGCCATAATAGAACATAATATAATATAATTAAATGCATTTTTTAATATATCTTACACTAAAAATAAATTTAATTACGTTATATTACGTTTTATTCTATTTCAGGGAATAAATTTTAAAAGTGAATATTATATTGAATAATTTCACTGGTGGCTCCTAATCTTAGTATGTATTTTATCCAATCTAAACATCAATTTATAACTAAAATGCTCCAACTTCTATTAGTGTAATAATAAAATCTCCTTTACCCATTTTTATCAATTCTATTTGAAAATCGGATGGTCAGTGGATTATTTGTAATTTTTTTTTATTTTTCTCCCTTCCCCACAAATCTGGAGATATTTAGTTTTTAATTTTTATTTTTTTATTAAAAAAAATGCAGAGATGGGGAAGTACTTACTTACATCCGGTGTATAAGCTACGAAACCAATTATAAATGAGATCTCAATTTAAACGATTGTATTTCTGACTGTATTTAAAAAAAAAAGGAAAATAAATTTATATATTTTTTAAATTCTATTTTTTTATTGGTTTACCTAAATTCAATAGAGAACTTGACAAGAAGAGAAGCAAATTTCACATCATTGAGAAATAAAATTTTCAAACTTATCCTAAAAAGAAACATCTAAACCATATCCCATTAATTAATATTAAGATGGAACATTGTGATGCGACGACACACATTTCGGCAGCAAAATATGAAAGTATACATTTTCAAAATAATCGAACCTTCCTCAAGGACATCAACCAATAATTATATATGTTTTTAATTTTAGTAGTCAATTTAAATGAAATTTCATTTAATTGTGTTTACCTTGTTAAATTAATGAAACTGGTCCAAAGTCGACGACGAAGATGAGAACTTATTACCCTTCCCTAAGGAATCTAATCTTTCTTTATTTATATATATTTATTTACTTATTTTTTGCAAAAATAAATAATCTATATTTCGATTATTGTTTTCGACTTCAACCACTAATTATCCTCAAACCCAAAAAAAAAAAAAAATAAAATAAAAAAAAGGTGTTAAAGCTATATTCGACAACAACTTTTTAAATAACTTTTAAACGTTATTTTTTATAATATTCAGTAATATAACATTTATACTAGTTTTAGAGGTTAATGTAGTATTTTATAAAAAGTTAACTCATAAAACATTTAACTTATAGCGTTCTATGAAAAACTACTTAAATAGCTAACAGCTAAACACTACTAAAATAGTTAACAGTTACCAAAACAGTTAGTTTTATCGAGCATACCCTAAATAAGTAATGGTGATGGATGTTGAAATAGTGTAAGTAAATTAATTATGTTTATATATATATATCATTTTACTATGATTATTATCAAAATAAATATTGTGTATGAGTCATACAGAATTATATGAATTTTTGTAAATCCTGGTTTTGCCACCCTTGAATATAAATTAATAATTTTGCAGATAATTGGATTTATCTTATATGCAATAAAAAAAAGAAAGAAATATTGAAAAGAATTAGTGAAAATTGATATTTTGCTTTGATTATCAAAGCAAAAAATATATAACAATAAAGTTTATTAAAATAACCATAAATTTTTTTTATTATTTGAGTATAATACAAGTTAACACAGAAGTATTCATAGGTTGGGGATTTAAATCTAGTCTGGTAGTAGGGTTCTCGTGAAATTGCACGAATTGATCTGATTCGATACTATTCTCCCTCTCTTCCGTCTTTCATATATCCAAGAGGGAAAAAAAAAATTAATTTAACTGCCTAGAATGCATAAAATGCCAAAATTTAAATTTTAATCAATAAACTAAGACAAAATATGAAAGCATTGGAAGTTAGAAGCTTTCAAAATCCAAGCTATCGAAAGACTTTGTGCTATTTACTATTTTGTATTGTAGGAAAAGGTCCGAACTCAACGCCTTGAGTGGAAAAGCACCAATTCTGCCCACATAAATAATATTTTTCTTTGTTTTTTTTTTTTAAGATTATATAAAAATAAATTTCAACTGTCTAATTAAATAATATTTAATAGGATTCATAGAAAACAAGAACAAGAGGAAGAAGTCATGTGTGTATAACGTTTATATATTTTGAAAAATGAGCTGCAGAGACGTCCAGATTCATGGTCGGTTCGGTTATTATTATTTATGTCGGCCCGTCTGAGAGTTGAGTCTGCTTACATTTGAATTTTATAAGGTAGGTACTTCCTTTTGTTTCCACATCAGTGGAATATAAAGTTAATTTTTTTTTTAAAATAATAATGATAATTAATACGAAAACACTAGCAATATTCGTGAACTGTAATGAAATGTAATGCAATATATGTCAATGGTGTTTTTTTCTTAGAGTAATATTATTTATATAATAAATGTTTATGTAAATTATATTTTATTATGACGGATCAAACATTACTAAATAGTTTGATTTGAAAAGACCTACCAATTTTTTTTATTTTTTATTTGTAATTTAATTGAACCAAATATCAGAATTTCATGTCCGTTTTTCTAATTAATATATATATATATATTCAAACATTTACTAATAGTTTGATTTGAAAAAGAACCTACCAATTTTTTTATTTTTTATTGTATTAATTGAACCAAATATCAGATTTCTATTGTCCGTTTTTCTAATTAATATATACTATATAATATAATATACTCTCACTCACTACTATATCAATTGGTTTTTCTTTCCATTTTATCTTTATTTTTTAAGTACATTATCATTATATAATTTTATTTGTATAATAATATCTCAAAATATATCACATTAATTGTATATTTTTTTTTATTAATTAAGATATATTTTATTCATCAGTTTTAATCTTTAGATGGATTATATTGTTAGGTTTTGTTAAAATCTAAGTAAAGAAAATTATTGTATATTTCTTAGTAACATCAAATTTTTTATTCTATAATACTATTGCAATATTAAAGTTATGTTTCAAATATTAAAAGATACTTTATATAATAATACTATAAATAGGGTTTATCATTTGTCGTTTTTTTTTTTTTTTTTCAGGAAACTCAGGAACTCACTTTTTTTTTTTTTTTTTCAGGAAACACAAATTATTTTTTATAAATTATTTTTTTATATACAAATTAAATATTTGAGAATCAAACAAAATTGCATATAACAACAACAAATAGCCTTGATTCCAAACTTCATAGTTTATATTAATTCATATATATTTAAAGGAGAGCAACCTAACATGAAACACAACAACATGGTACCAATTAATTGAAGCCCCACAAAGGTTATTAACAAGTTAGGTATATCACGTACATATATATATACATATACGTATGAGAATACCACAAACAAGATTTTTATTTTGGATCTGGTTTAATTTGCTGACCTTAAATTATGTATACCAAGAAAAAGACTACGACGTTTCCCTTTTTTGTTTGTGAGGTGGTGTGGTGTCCACTCCCAAAGAAGTGATGGATTGGCCAATGGGCAATTTGTTTATCTTGTGGCTAGTAAACTTAGGGCACCACTTCATATCCACTAGTATTTCATAACAAACACGCATGATTGGATGTTTTCTTTTGTTTTCTCTCTTGTCACTTTTCTTGATTTGATTTATCAAATAGTAACATTTCTTTATAACTTGTCATTTTCTTTTCTTTCTTTCGGTTTGTTTCTGTTAAGATTATCTTCGAGTAGGTTATATATTATTATGAAGTTACCTTTTTGAGCAGATTTAAAAATAAAATTTTAATTTGTTTTATATATGTTTAGAAACTATTTCTTGAATGTTGTAAACAAAATTCTAAATTATTCAAATTTTTTCTACTGTCGTATTTTGTGACAATTGTGGGTATGGATGGACCATTGCAAATGGATCCAACTTGTGATTATGGATTGAGTTGAAGAAGATGCGTAGAAACTCCTCAAAGTATCTTTTTTGAATTTGAAACGGCAATATTGTCTTATATAATGTTTCGCAAATGCAAACAATTTATCTAATAATAGAAATACACTTCCATTAAGAAATTCTAGATATTTTCCTCTGTTTTGTTTGTTTTAATGTAAACACCCAAAACTTGAGAGCAAGGATCATGCTTTACTGTCTTATTTTATTTATTTATTTATTTATTAAGCTAAGATATTAACTTTTTTTTTTTTTTATGTACGTGGTTTTATATTTGGATCGAGAGAGTGATAGTAAGTAAAACCTTTTACCAATGGGGACTGAATTTCTAACTGAGTTTCTAATATTAGTAGAGAACTCAATTTCTTACAGGCTTTTGTGGATACATGTGGTAGATTGGTGAGTTCCTTCACCCGATCCCTGATCTCTTCCTGTAGCTCCCACACTTGTGTCTCCCCCAAATAATTATAATTTAAAAAAAAAAAATGAAGCCCATAATTTCATGGGCCAAGAAAGTAACTAATTTACGAGCCCATGCCCTTGAACACAGATAAACCCAGATGATTGCAAAACGTGGAATGACGCTTTTGAACTTATTTTGTTTGGATAGGGTTTTAAAAATAAAATAAGCTAAATTAAATTATTAAATTGTTTCGCAAAAAGGTTTAGAGAATGGGAGGTATTTTCATGGTTATTTTGGGGGGTAAAAAAAATCGTCAACACCCCCCATTTCTTAATCCACCAAATATTTATATTTCTTCTTAATAAATATTTTTATTTTAATGTTATTGAGAATTTAATTTAAGAAAATTATTTTAATATTCAAAAATTAATATTTATCAAAAACAATAGCTCTAACCAATTTATTTATCTCATATATAATCTTAATTTCAAAAATTTCCAAACCAAACAACACAGCATTGTTAAACATTCATTTACTTTAGCTTCTTTCTAAATATGAAAAAACTCTATTGCCTTTATTATAAGTTTTTATTTAATTTTGTTATCAATTATTTAAAGAGCTTTAACTATATTCAAAAAAAAAAAAAAAAAATGAAGGGCTTCAACCCTTCACTATAAATAAGACATTCGACTATTACACTACTAGTCTAATAATTGTTCCCTTAAATAATTATTAATCAAAGAAGCCAACCAATCACCAATTCAGAGATTTGGAACCCAGATGTTCAATTTTTTTGACTTGAGCACAAGCTCATATAAATCTTAAAGCAAACGCAAAGCTTAGAGATATAAATAATAACCAAACTGACATTACTAACAAGAACAATAACAACAAAGAGATTGAGCTCATTCACTAGCACTTGAATAGTGTGGTACACAATTGTACAATACTTGATATTTGGGTGAAGTTCAATGAAAGCCATACAAATAGCATTTCTGGGCTGATTATGCAATTAGCACAGCCAACTCCACCGCCAAAAAACAATACATTATATGTACACAAAAATAATCAAAGGTTAAACAAAGAGACAAGCATACAACAACAGATTACTGTGCTGAGAAAGCACTGCATTTTAACCATACCCTTAAAATGTTTACTCAGAGTCATCAGAATCATCCTCGGTCGTCACGTCTGAACCTTCCTCTTCGCTATCACATTCATCTATTCTAGCAACAGTTTTGGTAGTCATCTTTGTTAGAGCTGCAGTCTTGCTTGCCCTTTGTGACCTGGTACCTTCAGTACCATTAATGGTCTGAACAACTGTGGTCAGTGAGGTTTCTTCATCAGAAGAAGTATCCTCTTCGTGTCTCACTCGTCTTCTTGAGCGCACTGGTTTAGCTGATCGTGATGGAGCTGGTGTTTGGGGGATGGCAGAAGAGATATCAGCATCCAAGTTAATGTCTAGTTCCAACCTCTCTGCAAATATAATTAGAACCATATCACAAACTGATATACACATTAAAAAGGGTAGGTTACATACTAGCAACTAAAAATAACAGCAGATGCATGGACTTACAATTGAATGGATAATTCATTGAATCATATTATGAAAACCAATTCAATGTTATAACAACTTAGCAGTCTGGCCATTGAAAACCCAATGGAGAATAAGTAGTATGTATAGATTGGACTAAAAAAGCAACTAATGCTTCTTTCTGGAAAATGATTACAATTTTTCTTTTTCAAATTTCCACATTATTATTATGGGTTCAGTTTCACTCAGTGACTGAACTTACCATAGAACCTTGATTGTCACTAAACTTAAATTTGTGTTAAGAAAATAACTCAATCTCAATTTTAATTCAACAAGGTCACTATTGCCAAATTTTTATTAATTTTAGCAAAATATTTTCATACTGATTAGATAAAAACAAGTCAGCCTGTATTTAATTGTAAAATTTGAGTCAACAAAATTTCTTTTTGTAAAACCTTATTACAAATATTTAGTTATTATGTCAGAAATCTGGAAGAAATTCATACAAAATCTAGCAAGAGTGACCTTATTGAAATGAAAGCAAAGTAGATTATGTATGAGATGAAAAGTTCAATATGAAATTAATGCTGCATATATGTTGTCTTTAATCTGAACATAGAAATATGATATAAAGCCAAATGAGGCTAGAGATGCATCCCTCCAAGCTCTTTTCAAGAAAAAGACGACTTTACCCAAGAGAAGATTAGCTTGATCTTGCAACAGTTCCTCATTTGGTTGTTTGTCTAGTGACTTGAGATGTTCAGCCATCTGCTTTAACTCTTTCACAATATCTTTCTCTGCTGATACAGAGTCAGCCACAAGATTCAAAACCCTCCTCATTAACTTTATCGCTCCTTGTTCTGATGGCCGAAAATGAAGCAAGACAATTATTCTGCTTAGCGCTGAGATATATGACTTCTCAGCAGATGTTTTCTTCTTAACATTGAAGCTTGCCACCTCAACAAAGCACAAGAATACCAAATTAACATGTTTGAAGGAAATCAAGCAATATTGAAACAGATTATCCTTAGCAAATAATATCCACAAAAACTAGGATCTTAAATTTTAGTCAGCAAAGGGAAAACAGTAACTGCTAAAATAATCCACGTGAAGAGATCACCATGAATGCAGGTTCTAGACCAGCAAAACATTACATCATTTACTATCCAAATTTAACATAGTAGCTTTAGTTTATTTTTTTATTATTTTAATGATTTTACTTTGTTCTTAGAATGATAATTTCCTAGTTAGTTTAAGTTTAGTTTTCCTGTTTTTAAGTATTTTTTAGGCTTTTTAGATTCCTATTTGGTAGTTTTAGTTATTCCCTATTTAGGTTTCTTTATGACTTTAGAAATAAGCTTGCTATGTAACCGTTAAGGAAACAGTTTATGGATAATGCAGAATTTTTCTTCACTCGTGTTTTCTTAAGTTTCAAGTTAAACTTGTCATCTTAAGATGCAGTCAAGTGCTAGCCTTGTTCATAGGTTTCCATGTTTGACTTTTAAGACACAAAAACATTTGAAGAAATGATATCAAGCTGATTTAGTTCATTGAGGTATAGGAAATCATTTCCTAGTTTACAAAGAGAAGTGTAAAGATATATCCTATTCAGACATTGTTGATACGATTCTTATATTCTCAAGCGCTCTACTCCATCCAAGGACAAAATCAAGGAGGCTACTGCTCAAACTTGATAATGGGTGGGATTGACGCCCATGGAGATAGCTAGCCAGGGAGAATTGGGTCTAAGATAATAACAGCTAGAGATGGCCATAGTTCCCGGAACCGTCAGTTCGAACCGGTCCGGAACCGGGCCGAACTGGAACCGGAGAATTCCGGTTCCAAATTTTCTGGAACCGGAACCGGCGGTTCCAGAGAACAGGTCGGAACCGGACTGGAACCGCCGGTTCCCGGTCCGGAACCCGGGGAGCCGAACTGGGAACCGGAGATTTCCGGGTTCCGAAATTTTCTGGAAGCCGGAACCGCGGGTTCCAGAGAACAGGTCGGGAGACCGGACTGGAACCGGCCGGTGTCCCCGGCCGGCGTTAAGAACGCCGGTTCGAACCGGCGGGTTTTCTAGCAAAACGTGTCAGTGTTTTTTTTTTTTTTGCATTTGTTGTGAAATTCTCTTATTATGTTAAGTTTTTAAAAAAAAATAAAATTTAATTGAAGTATTTTTTAAATTTTTTAGGTGTATCTTTTAAATTATTTTACGTTCAAATACTATTTTTTTTTTATAAAACCGCGTCTTCAAAATTTAAAAATATGTTCAAACTTTTTAAACAAAAAATAAATTCAGTTGAAAATTTTTTTAAAAAAATAATTATGTTCAAGTCTTTAAAAAAAATAAATTTAATTGAGAGTATTTTTTGAATTTTTTAGGTTGTATGCTTTTTTAATTTTTCTATGTTTGCAAGATATATTATATATTTTTTAAAAACCGGTCTTCAAAATTTCAACAATTTAAAATTATTGACGATTCGCCGGAAAAACCGATCGGAGAACCGTCGGGTTTTGAGTCACCGTACCGGAACCGGGAACCGTTCGGTTCCAAAAACCGGAACCGGAACCTTTCGGGTTCCAAAACCGCGAACCAGAACCGGAACTGTTCGGTTCGTTCCGGGTTCTAGGAGTAAGTTTTTTTTTGGGAACCGGAACCGGCCGGTGCCGGAGACCGTGGCCCACCCCTGAAGTAAGCGAGGCTTCAGAACAGGTGGAGAAAAACGAGGGAAAAACTATATACCCTTCAAATCTTGATCATTTATGATTGTCAGGACTAAATATAGGCATATTAGGCATTCAGTTTGAAAAGGTTCACCTTCAGCAGCAATGCGTTATTGGAAGTCCCTCCTCTCCACATTCAAAGAAGGTTTGGAAATAGACTTCAAACCGATCGGAACCGTCGGTTTGGTCACCGTACCGGAACCGGAACCGTTCGGTTCCAAACCGGAACCGGAACCGTTCGGTTCCAAACCGGAACCAGAACCGGAACTTTTCGGTTCGGTTCCGGTTCTAGTTTTTTTGGAACCGGAACCGCCGGTTCCGGAACCGTGGCCACCCCTAATAACAGCTTCAGAACATGGAAAAACGAGAAAAACTATATACTTCAAATTTGATCATTTATGATTGTCAGGACTAAATATAGCATATAGGCATCAGTTGAAAAGGTCACCTCAGCAGCAATGCGTATTGCAAGTCCCTCCTCTCCACATTCAAATGAAGGTTGGGAAATGCTTTCTATAACTTCTGGTAGTTCTGTGCTGGCATTTTCATCCCCTATTTCAGTTTGTTTAGCAAACAAGGGGGCCTGCATCATTTGAAGCATAAATCGTGATGCTTGGACTGCCCGCTTACGCATGTTGGATACCACAGAGGAAGCACCACCAGCATTGCCATAGATACCTGGCCACATTGAACGCATGACTGGAAGAAAAGCCTTCGATAGACATTTCTGCATTTTAAGAATTGAATTATTTTATGAAAAAAAAAATGGAATGGTAAAGATTTTTAAGATAATATAACATCACATGTTAAACTCTTGCCTTATGGTTAGCTGAGAGGGAAGGATAATGCTCAAAGAACACTGATAAACACTGCTTCAACCTTGTGAAGTAAAAAAGAAAAGAAGTTAATGGCTATCCATATCAGATGATAATAATGCTACTCATCAAAACCAATTGATGCAACATTCACCTTTGCAGGTCCTTTGTTTCATTGCTGAAATACAAAATAATGAGTTTGGCTAAGAGCAAAGGATGTAAAGAGGTTGATATGCTTGGATAGTTCTCACTAAGAAGAAGAATCTTAGCAAAACCCTCACCAAGAATGGCTTGCACAGTCTCATTTTCATCACCATCTGTAGATTTTTCCAGATCATTTCTGTCAAGACCAGCATATAAGAGATCAAGCAATTCAGTGTCTAAATCTTCATCGGCATCTGAAAAATTTACAGGATTAAATGCTTTTTTGCTATCCTGAAATTGAGACATATGCTCCTTCCCTAGTGCCTTGTCAACTTCTTGGGGCCCATGCCACATGCCAAGATCAATTAAAGCCTTACATGCCATTATGCTAATTGGATCAGGGCCCTTGGCAAAAGAAAGTCTCAGCTGCTTAACCATTTCCTCACTTGGTTTCCTCTCTAACAAGCCAAACAGGCCAAGACACCTGATGGCAACCCTCTGCACATCCAAGTGAGCGTGTTTCGCCTGCATCCATATCTCAGACCACTAGTTAATATCTTCGAGGAGTTTTTAGAAACATTATAGGGACACTAAGAAAGAGTTTTTACAAACATTATAGGGACACTAAGAATTGGACATACTACAACGTCATGCACATGCATAATGGTCTAAATTGGATACCTACCCATCATGCCTATTCGTGAAGACAAACCCAAGGTAAACATCAACAAAAAGCATAAGAGAGAGAGAGAGAGAGAGAGAGAGACTGCATGCCTAACCTGATTTAAATATATATGTAAGACACATGAAGCACCTATATTGCAGACATGGACATAGATGTGTCGATTCTTAAGAAATCAAGACACAACACACCAAGGACTCACTATAGGATCTTAAATAAATTCCAGAGGAAATTAATCTAGAATATCTACTAAAGTGTTTGATATCAATGTTCAAAGCATTCATCCAAAACTAGTTGCTTATTCATGATAAAATTAACAAAGAGAATTACTATTACTCCTAATCATCTCTCTTCATTGTTTACTCTTTTTAGCATGTATATTTTCTTGATTTTATTAATATGCACCAAAAACTATTTATTTTTACTTTTATTTTCTTTATATTAGACGCAATTTGATGTGTCTGAAGCATGTCGAGCAAGTGTCTAACAAAAGCACATTTTAGGTAAGTCTTGGACACTATACCATTCAATAATGGTGTATAGGTGCATCATAGCGAAACAATCAATTCCAAGATCTATCAACAAACAACAGAATTCTAATCAACTAAGCTTTACCCTTAAACAAATTAAGGCCATGACCCAATTGCCAAAAATCTTGAAGAATGTGTATTGGCATATTTAGCTGAAAACAAGGGAGGACAAAAAAAAGGGAAATGCAATATATTCGTACCCCAGGAAGCAATAAAGATTGCAGCAATTCAACAGGCTCAATAGCTTTCCCTTGAAGCCAGTACAATGATTTTGTGTTTTCCAAGAGAAGACCAGTGACCGCCAGGCAGTGCATCCACTGCATGAAGTCTGCTGTCCTCTCCCTGCAAGGTCGAGCCAGCTCTTCTACAACGCCAAGAACCGCTTCTTCAAATTCACCAGAAGCAGCATGGACTTTTCTAGCCAAACTGGACACTGCATCAGCCCAGTCTTTCTCACCACCAAGGTTTATGCCATCTCCTATGACAACCTGGTTTCCTTCATCATCCGCTTCATGATCAAGTGGCTTGTGCAATAGTTCCTGTACAAATGAACTGGCAACTTTCCTGCTTGTAGAATCAGAAAAATCAAGCATAGTACCAAGCAGTAGTAGCTGCCGACATGCAAAATGGTAGTTTGCTCCTAAAAGTATGAAGGTCAAATTAGAATATGCAATAGCATACAAAATACAATTAACATTGGGTACCACCTACCAGCATCTATATGAGCTTTGACCAAAGCTACATAATCTGAAACAGTTGCAGGAAGTATCTTGTCCAGAAGGTCATTGTTATCCGAAGCTTCAGCTGCATATACTGCAGCTTCAGTGCCCATTGTTGCCGCAGCATCAGATCCTTTTTCCTGTTCAAACACATTAATCGGAGGAAAATTCAGAACCATTGAATGATGTCTTTGAGCAATAACTTTGCAACAAGTATATCAACAAATCAAGCAAAAGGCGCAAACACTTAGAAAGTTTATTCGAATTCACAACTAAAGATTGAAATAAATATAATTTTGGCTAAGCTTCAGTAGAATTATTGTAATGGTTTCATGACCAAAAAGGGAAAATGAAACAGGCCAGTCAGCATCCCTGTTTTTTCTGTTTGCCAGGATTCAGAATTCAGATCTAGCTCTATCCACTTAAAATCATCTTAAAGAGGTACTTATATTGTCTTGTCTTCACGATTTATTGATATTTGGGAGTTGATATTTCCAGAATGTTCTAAGAAACTACCAACAAACCAATTTTAGACAAACACTTTGACCTGTCATGTGTGAGGAACAGTCTTCAAGCCAGACCAAGTAATTGGTTAATGCTGGGAAATAACTTTCATCTAAATGTATTGTCTTAATCTCTTACAAAAAAATCTTGCAAAACACCACCTTCAAGACACTGAAGGTTACCTTTCTGAAATTTTGACTAATTTTTCAAAAATATTTGAGAAATAAATGGTTTTCCTTGAATCAAGGAATTCATCCATCATATTGTATCTTCCCTTGCCAGCCTTTATTCTTGCAGTATTATTAGCAGTTCAGCAAAAGATGTTCACTTACTAAGAACTAATAAAACAATGAAAGCCTAGAATCCAAAACAAAAGCCTATTCAGTTAGTAATATATGAATTAGTTTCCCAAAAACTTTGAACTTTTCAATTCACAGTGACATCAATGGTTGAATAAGAGAGCAAATAGAAAGATTAATACTGTAAAATTCAGCCTTCCTCATTGGGGGGGGAACAAAAAAGAAACGTTAGATATGATTCTCTCATGGCCACTCCTCTCCATCCCTCTCCAAACATAAAATGAAAAGAAATCCAGAATGCAAAATATCCAGAAGAAAATGGTGATAGAAACAAAGCAAAACTCACTATAGACTTACTTGTGCTTCTTTCTGCAAGTGCCTGCACACAGTCTTCCAATAAAGAGCAAATTCTGGATCCATTAGACGGATGCTTGTATTGTATGATTCTCCTGTCAACAATATGAGATGCCATTAGGATGTTGGTTAACAATGCAAGCCATTAAAGTGACGATTCCTGAACTTGCAAATGAGTCTATCTAAGAGTAGCTATAGGAATCCAGTGATTCAAATGCTAGAGAAAAATTGATTATTTAAGCCTCTTATGTAACACCAGCTTTGAAATCACTAGCAGGAAAAAAAAGACGCACGAGCAACAAGAAAATAGAACAATAAGGAGTATGCGATGAATAAATAGATGTTGTTAAGACATCAATAGATATTAACATTTCCTATTTTATTGAAATTACTTTAATGACAATATTTAAGTTTAATGGAAATTAAAAGAATTATACCTTCTTCAAGAATATTTGATAACAAGCCATAGGAAACAAAATAAACCTGATTTGAAAATCTATTCCTAAATTTTACAAGAAATTTATAAACAACATAAGAATTTTATTGTGCACCATAAGGTCTGCATTTCAATGACCTCCAGTAATCCGCCTTCCCATTGAACATACTATATTTCATTTCACCCAGCATGGGAAGTGTTTGACCATCAGGAAAACATAAACTGGTTTCTAGATTGTATGTTTAATCAGAGAGAAATTATGGTTTAATAGCTTGATAGGAGTATAACCAAAGTAAAACTGGACAACTCCTCCATAAATCATGCCTCAAAATGCAGTTTGCTTTACATTTATGCGAAATCAACCAATGTTCCACTTTTTATCTGTTAAATTTCAATCGAAAGAAAATCAATGACCAGAGTTGAAGATAGGTTCCTCCTCGATAGATGTCAAAAACTCAAATTTCCATGTTAAGTGTGTTTATGAATAAAACAACAATATTTTCACTCATGTTTAATTTAGCAAAAGATATATAAAACTTTGCAATCTGCAGTCCCCAGCCCACACTCGTATTACGATTGAAAAGGACCAGAAAATAAAAAAAACAAGAACAAAAGAGAAAAAGGTGCTCTTGTGACTATTTGAGCAGAAAAAAAAAATTAAAATCTCCACTAACCTTCATTTTCAGACTGGGTCAATGATATGTACTGCCTAATACTTTGATCATCATGTAACTTCAGTAATCCATCATTTAAAAGAGCAGCCATTACAGATTCCCCAACCGATTCATAGGTTTCAACATCAAGGTATTTGAGAAGTTCTACAGGGTCATTATTGCAGCACTTAGAAAGCCACTCATCTTTCATCAACTTTAAACATTCTTTTGAAACAGCTACAGATCGATCGGCAAGCCCTCTCTGAAGAATTACTGTCCTGAGCTTTATGCTGTAAGAAAGAGGCAGAAAATACAAATGGCATACATTAGATTATGTGATCAAAAAGTCGCCCTCAGTGAATTAGAAATGGAGATAGACCTCTGCTGAAAACCTTGCACTCAAACAATTACTGGATATTAGATCATATAACTATTAGCAGTAAAATGAACCACTGCAAATCACAAAGATTCTACAGTGAAGATATATCTTCATCGACCAGAACAATTGTAACAGCTAAAGAACCCTTGGGAAGTGCTACTGTACATTTCTGAAACTACAACATCAATTCACCTGAGACTTTGGAGGGGAAATTTATCAGCTAGAACACAGTAAGCAGCTTTCCGGACTGTTTTTTTTTTTTTTTTTTTTTTTAATAATCGGCTAGAGTTTTTTTTTTTTACCCATATATTTTATGCAAAAACAATTATCTTGTTCATTTAAGCTACTAACTATGATTATACATAGATAAATATGTATAAAATTAAAAATTTCAAAAGCCAAATTATTTTTAAAAGTTTTAAATTTTTAAAAAATTAAAATCAAACATTGGATAAAATAGGATATTTGTTAAATTAGATTAGATTTCAAAATATATTGTTATTATCTAAATCTTAATTTTAAAATTAAAAAAACGTACAACCATTCAATTAAAATATAGAACAATTCAAAAATTTCAATTAAAATTTTTCAAAATTTTAAATTTTGAAAAAATAAAAATCAAATACGAAATAAAATAGAATAGTTGTTAAATTATATTAGATTTCAAAATATATTGCTATTATCTAAATATTAATTTTAAAGTTAAAAAAAATATAACTATCCAATTAAAATATAGAAAAATAAAGAAAAAATCTAAAAATTGCAATTAAAAATTTTCAAATTAAAAAAAATTAAATTAAATACCAAATAAAATAGAATAGTTGTTAAATTTATCTGTTGACTGTTTCGAATATTTGTCCTTTCAAGTTCATATTAGAGAAGAATTGCGAATATTTTATTCACCAAATAAATGAACTAATATCCTGCATTTCCACACAAAAAAAAAAAAAATGATACTTTTCCTTTCACGCAACTTTAATATAGTAAACAAACATAGACACCTCTAGGAATCAAAACAAGTACCGACAGAGAGCAATTAATAATTTCATCTCATGTTGAAAATCACTAACTACCAATCAACCTAACTATATCATACATTATTTCCAATAGTTTAATATGTGGGAAGACCTAAGAAAGCCCATGTATTCTGAGATCAATTGAGACTATTACATGTCATCTTCCACTCGCGTTGCTCTGTCCTCACCCACAAAAACATTGTTGAAGACATGGGCTCTCAAATGATAACCCTCTAAATAAACTCCTGGCATGTAATTCAAATTTAATATGATTGGATATGATTGAATCAATGGGTAGACTCACCGCATTCTGCTCTGAAGTAAGCATCTCAAGGAATAACTCAAGAATGTCACAGTTGTCGGTGTCATTTACAAAGCGTGAAAGTGCTCTAATGGCATATGTACGGATAACAGGAATCCTGTCCCTAACCCTTGACTTCATGCATTCTATAACCTCATCCCAAAGATCATTGCTTACTTCTGCATCATCCGGCAACCTCATTATGATCTACAAAAGCACAAGTGCAATCAAGAAAAAGAAAGGAAAAAACCATTTAAAAAAAAAAAAAACATATTCCCCACAAATTGATGCATAAATTTTCATAAGATCAAAAGTCATTACGGATGCCATTAAAAAGGAAATGTAAAATGCAAAGTAACAAAGGAATGCTAATTAAGAAGCAGAATGAAGAGAGAAACTTCAATTAAAGTGGAAAATTCTGGAGAAAAAAAAGTTGCAATATTACAAGTATAACACAAAAAATTTGAGGGGAAATAAATAAAAATTAAAGTAATACATACCTCGGAGATTATCTGACAAGCCCTAAACCTCGCAGTCTTGTTAGCTGCCATGGCAGCAACTAGTAGAAACTTCAAAAACTCTTCCAGAAATTCATCACAAGCAGAGGCATTGTTCGGGTCGCGAGTGCTTGCAAAGACTGAGACGAAGCGAATGATGCGCTCAGCAGAGGTGATGCGGCGTTGGACATGGAAAATGGGTTTTAGGGTTTTGGAGAAGGCAAAAGTGAATTGAGTCGGAGTTGAAGATTTTGAGCGGAGATTGGAGAGTTCTTTGAACTTTCTGATGTGTATGGCGTTTGAGGCCTTGGTTTCGTCGAGAATTTTGGCGATTTTCTGCATTAGCTGCTTCTCTTCTTCGCTGACCTCCATTTCTCTCTCGGTGTCTTGGCGATAGCCGATAGATCTGTCTGGCGCATAAGCTTCTCGGTTTTGGTTTTTGAATTCGAGCGGGAATTTCCAGAAATTTTATGGTGGGCCAATATTATTAAAAGATCGAAAATCCTTTATTTATTTTACTAAAAATTTTATGCCTTGGTAACAAAAAAAAAAAAAAAAAACAAAACAACCAATATTATTAAAAGATTCGAAATCCTTTTATTTTATTTTACTAAAAATTTTATGCCTTCGGTAACAAAAAAAAAAAAAAAAAAAAAAAAAAAAAAAAAACAAAACAAAAGTGTCGTGTTATTTCCAGAGCGACTTTTGTTAATTATAGAGTAGACATTTTGTTATACCATCAAAGTGACTTATTTGTCCTTACTAACCTAACAGAGATTCTAACGTTAAACTATTCCTTATGCCGTTAAAACTCCAATCTCTAATCTCTTTCTCTTTCTCCTCCCTCTTCTTTTTTAACTTCAACAGAAACACTTGCTAGGCATAGGCATAGTAATTTTTTTTTTTATATTCAAGGTTTTCTTGCTATGGAAGACAATATCCATATAGAAATTATTATTGACAACAATGTAAATTTTGATTCGCAGAAACCAAGTAAAATTCTAAAAATTGAATTTTTGAGTATTGAATAATTATGATTGGGGGGTTTTGTGTTTAATTTACTAAAAATTTAAAATCTTGTAATTGTAAATAATATAATAACTTGAAGAATTGATGATTCTAAATAAGTGTGTAGTTAAAGTGTTTGATTATTTGCCTAAATATCATGGTGGAAGGTTTGTTACTAAGGAGAACTAGGATGCTTTTGTAGATGGAGGGGGAAATTTTTATGCTATTTATTATTAAGTGCATCGATGGTTCCAGTAATAAAATTGATGTTATGGTATTGGTGTTTTTGATGATGATGATAATCAACAGCATTAATGGTATCAGTAATGATGGTAAATATAATGATAATGGCAATTAACAAGAATCAACAATAGATCAAAATAATTAATTTGGCATCTGTTACTTGTCATATTAAGTGATTTTTGCAAAATAAGAGTTGAAAAGAAAAATGTTAATTTTTTTAAAAAAAGCTCTAAACACTATGATCTTAAGTGCTTAATCAATTATCTTGTGGACAGACGATGCCGTTTTCTTTTTTGAGTAGTGTAGGAGTGGGATTCTACTTAGGAGGTTCTTAGACTTTTTGTTTTTATATACTTTTGTTAATAAATTAGTCTTAGGTAATTGGTTTTATTTTAGTTAATAGATAAACATATATAATTTAACTCTTGTTCTCTTATTTTGGTGAGTGGCCTAGCTATTTTAATCCATTTGCATCAACATATATGTATACTGCCATGAGAAAATGAGCATGACTAAGATTCTAAGTTTGTCTTATTAGATATTCAATAAAATTTGGTTATTTTTCTTTTTTACTCTTGAGCTTTTATAAAAGTTAGAAAACTGTTAATTTTGTCTCGAAATTACTATGAGCTTTATTGATGTTATGATCTGTATTCAAATTTTCATAATGCAAGCTTAGTTTGACTAATATTTAGTGAGTTTTTCCATTGTTTTCATACAAGGATGACATGGTGTTAACATATGGGTCTTGAAATTAACATGATCAGTATTAATGACCTATATATAAATTTTAATCATGGTACCTTAGTTTGATTACTTATTAGTATTAATTTGTTTTCATTGTCACACAAGGATATGACATGTGGGGTTAACGATTCGGATGAACGATCTAATTTCTTAGAATCTAATATTTTTATTTTATCAGGAGTAATGTTGCAGGTTCAAATTTTAAATTATATTTGAACTATTATGATTATTGTTTTCTTACTAATATTTAGTTAATTATTTTTTTAGATGCTACCCAGGATAACTCGCATTTTTAAACTTATTGTGAATGGCAGTTTAAATTGCGACTCGCAAAATTCAGGTAAAAAAAATGTAAACATAGAGTTTATTAAAATTTCTCATTTATGTATTATTCATTAGTAATTTCTCATTTATGTATTATTCATTAGTATTTTTTTATGCTTATAAATTCATTTGTCTATTTTTCTCTACATAGACAACATGGAGGAGAATATAAATTATTTTTCTCTACATAGACAACATGGAGGAGAATATAAATAATGAATTTTTTGAGGAAGGAAGCTTAACTTGTGAATTGCAACAAGTAATCTATGAGCATAATAATAAAAGTGATGAACATGAATCAATCGAAGAACTGCTCAACCAGAAATTTCAAACAGACGATGAACTTCTTGATTATGTTTGAACTTTTTTCTCCATGCGAGGATATGTAATGTCCATCAAAAGTTCTAGGAAAGTTAGTTATGTGTCTATTGGTTGTGATTTGGGAGGCTATTATCTAATAGAAATAATGTTCCAATTGAGTTTCGAGAAAGAAAAACCTCAAGTCGTCTTATAAATTTTCCTTTCGAAATTAAAGGAAAAAGACAAGATGAAGGTATTTGGAAAGTTGAAGTGAAAAATTTATCCCATAATCATGAGTCTTCTGAAGATATGTCTGGACATCCTTCTAGTTGTCGTTTATCTAAAAAAGAAAAGTGTTGAAAAAATGATTAAATCAGGTATACCTCCACGCCATATTTTATCATCTCTTACACAAAAAAAATCAAAGTCTCTTGGCAATTTCTAGAACTGTGTACAATGTGAAGATTAAAATTTGTAAAGAAGATCTAGGTTCCTATACTATGCTTCAAGCATTATTTGAAGAACTTGGAAAAAGGTGATTTTGTGTACAATGTGCAATGCAATGAAAATGGCCAAGTAATCCATTTATTTTTTGCTCACCCAGCATTAATTACTTTAATTAGAAATTATGCAAATGTGTTTCTGATGGACTGTACTTATAAGACCAATAGATATAAGATGTCATTATTTGATATAATTCGAATTTCTATTTCCAATACTTCTTGTTATTCTTTTTTTGCATTTTGGGAGAAAGAAAGAGAAGACGATTATGTGTGGGCTTTGAACATATTTAAAGAGATACTTGGTGGTATTTGTCTACCTTCTGTGATTGTAACTGATAGAGAATTAGCTTTGATGAATGCTATTATAGTTGTTTTTCCAACAAGTGTAAATTTGTTATGCATATGGCACATAGAGAATAATATCTTAGCAAACTGTAAAAAATATTTTAAAGAAGGAGATGATTGGAAATATCTTTTGTCCTTCTGGAATATAGTGATATAGTCTCAAATGATTTAATTATGAAGAAAATTGGAAACAGTTCCAAGTATTATATAAGGAGAGGAAAGATGCTTTAAGTTATATCTAAGAGACATGGATTGGATTGGGGAGCATTTTATTAGTGCTTGGACTGAAATTATTTACATTTTGGAAATCGTGTCTCCTCAAGAGCAGAAGCTGCACATACAAAACTTAAACGATATTTGCTAGTTTCTACAGGTGATTTTCGTCAAGTAAAAGATAAACTTTATCTTGCCATTAAGAACGAATTTCAAGAGATCAACGCTCAAATTTCAAGTGAAAGACTTCGAATGAACGCTTCAAATTTCAAGTGAAAGACCTTCGGAATTGCCCCATTATTGTAGTTTTTGTTTTTCTTCAAGGAAGTTGTTAATTATTTCGCGTGTCAATATTGCAATGCGAGAACTATATAAGCAATTTGCGATGCATGAAATAATGAAAATGCAACTTTTTCCATTCAAATTTCAAGTGAAAGACTTCGAATGCCCCATTATTGTAGTTTTGTTTTCTTCAAGGAAGTGTAATTATTCGCGTGTCAATATTTGCAATGCGAGAACTATATAAGCAATTTGCGATGATGAAATATGGAAAAATGCAACCTTTTTCCATTGGTAACTTCATGGCAACTATGGGTCTTCCATGTGCTCATCATAAGAAGATAGATTGAAAAGATGGATTGATTCCTCTTGATGTCATACATTCACAGTGGAGGATTGACACAAGATTGCTTTCTTGCATTATTGAGGGATAATAATAAAGAAGACGAGTTCAAAGAAATACTTGATGAGTTTCAATGTAAATATCAACAACGGCCTCTTATTCAAAAAGAACATGCTTGAGAAACTTTATCTCAACTAATAAGTGTAACAACTCTTCCATATTTGGAACCGGAAATTCATTCTCATAATGGTCGACCCTTAGGTTCAAAAAAAACATTTGGATCAAGCTCTACAAAACGCAATCCTTCAAGTTTTGAAAGGATCGAGAATGCAAGAAAATATAGTATATGCAAGGCTACTGGTCATAACAGTCGTACTTGTAAACAAGCAAAAGAAACTATGATGGTGAAAAAGAAACTCATATCCTAAATGAGGTAATTTAATTTTTCATTCTTTAACTTTATGCCAATGTAGTAATATATAATTATTTCCTAAAATTGTTTTGAAGTACCATAGTTTATATAATTTATTTCGTATTTACAGAAAGATTAAAATGACTTTTGGTAGAAGGACAAACATGGGTTGGAGATTCTCGTGAACTTTTTGTAAGTTTTTTTTAATAAAAAAAAATTTCCTATATAAAATTTTGTCCTTTTCTTTTGAATTGTCTTTTCATATTTTTTTTTCTTTTTGCATATTTTGCTTGCAATTATGGGTCTTTGACAAGCCATAATTTTATATTTATCTTTAACTTTTAGAATTTTGAGTAAGTAATTTTTTTATGTTATTGCTAAACAAAACATTATTAGTGTTAATCCCGTAAAACTATGGGCTGCTATCAGCTTTTGCCTTAATAATTTTGCCAAATGATGTACCATATTGACAACATTGGGTTAATTTGTTTATTAACTTAGAGTTGTTTTGACAATGAAATGAATACATTTAGTTATTGATTCTATAACTACCATTGGAGTTTACCAATTCATTTTAAGTATCAGGCAAATTGAATTCTATTTTTCCTCTTTTATTGTTATTTATTGATTTATGTTTTGTTGCTTGTTTCATTGTGGTTTGGTTGTTTAGTGCTGGATATCAGTTTTATTTTGATTTTGGTTACTTTGTTTGATTCTAATGTATTGGGATTGAGAATTT